TCCCAAAAAAAAAACTATTTTCGCTTCAGTTTATCGTAAAAGAATAAATTTTTGCTTAAATTATTTAAATAATTGACATGTAAGAGTGGGTTGACCTGCCTCGCTCCATAACCGAGCAGGTATTACTCGCCCCGACCCGCGTTGGTATTCCTGATCCCGACTTGCACTTGGTGTGGGGCGGGTATGGGTATTGAGATTCTCGTCCCATCCCATTCATTTGTCGTCACTAACGTAAATTTGTTAATCTTAATTGTTTTCAGCGACAACTCACAGGTATTATAACATATATATGGGTTATACCTGTGGTGCTATCATGATATGGTACCTTTAGAGGTCATTCGGACGGGGAACTTTAATAACGAGCGATTTGAATCGAAATCTCATGATTTAAAATACCTGAGAATGTATACATGGGATTTGTGACAAATATAGTGGCTGTTGAGTGGAAGAAGAAATGTCACGAGGAGATGAAATCATTGGTTAATTGTGGTTGGCGTGTGGTGGTGGGTTATATCTTTATACGGATCATGGCCCGGACTTAGTATTGGGCTTTTCGTTGCATGCTTGTCGAGCCCGTTATTGTTCCTGCGGGTCAGCTTCAGGATCTCGTTGTGGTTTCACGCAATGACATTAATTTCCACTATCAATTTATTTATCTTTTTTCACGGAATACTTTTCACCATCCATCCCAAAAAATTGACTAATACAATTATTGTTTCCATAAATAACCAGGACGATTTTTCATATTATGAAAGAAATGTAAAATACATTCATTGTTTATACTTTAAGTGAGTCTCTTACAATGTATCCCATTAAACAATTACTAACAAACTCATTGCCAATTCGACTTCGAAGCTTATTCTTAATATAGCTCCATCTAATATATGCACTTTTGTATCCACCATTACTTGAGATAATTCATTAATTCTTTTCAACCCAACAAATCTCTCATCAGCCATAATATCGTGATAATACCTAATGAGTTGTTGTCGAATAATAGTGTCATGAATGAAACCAATAATTTAATTACTTTTTGTGAATTAATGAACAAATAATGAGTTATAATGTAATGTTAAAACATCCTTATATTACTTGTGTTTAATTCGATCCGTACAAATATATGTAGAATTATTTTTTTCCCTCCCCAAAAAGTTACCCCTGTCCCGGGATAGAATCAAACACCCCTGACTCCCCCTATGCCCAAGCCCAAATCACCAATTCGTGGCCAATAAGTATCAAATTTTGGAACCACCATGAATCCATGATGGCTTACATCCACCTTGTGAATGCAGGAGCCACTTAGTAAGCAAGTGGATGATCCAAACTTCCCCTAACCATATTGCTATTAGGGACAAAACATGGAGGCTCCTGTATAGAGCAAATGGCAGAGTGGAGATTTTTTCTAATCTTTCCAAGGTTATTGTGCCTTAGCCCTTAATCCTTATGGATGGAGAAACCATGTGAGACTCTGATAAATGATGCATGCACAAGTGGAAATATGCAGAGTACTGCTCGTGTCTTAATTTGGAAACAGCCATTGATACATCTACATCGTTGAATTGATATCTCCATATCCCTAGTCAAATGATGGAGCTAGCTAGCAGTCAAAGAAGAAGACATAAGGCCCAGGAAAGTAGGTAGGGGCAGCCACAGGGGTGGAGGTCGGTCGGTTTCGGTTTAATCGAAAACCGAAAATTTGGTTATCGGCTAACCGTCCACCTCCCAATTGCATCCGACAACCGACCGACCTGGAGCACACGGCTGACCGACCACCGACCGTCGGTTTTCGGTTTTTTTACTCGGTTAGCCGTGCAACCGAAATCTTGCGGCATCCGGCAAAGGAAACGAAGAGAAAGGGGGCGAACAGTGGGCCGACGGAGCAGAGGTCGCGGGGGCGACTAGCAGTGGCAGGGGCCTGCCTCCAGTCGTTTTGTCTTTGCCTCTCTGTCTCTGTTCGGGGTAGGTGATTGGGGAAGAAGATGAAAGGGACGAACGGAGGGTCTTGGTCAGTGAGGGGAGACGGCGGGCTTGTTCGTCGCCGGTCGTGGAGGCGCGGATTCGGCCTTCGGGGAGGAGAGATGGAGGGCGGCCAAGGAGAAGGGTGGAGGCGGCGGAAGACGAGGAAAGAAGGAAGCAAAGGGTTTTGGTTTGGGCTGAATTCTGGAAGGTGGAGGCGGCTAATATGAGGGAGAGTGATGTAGGGCTGGGAAAATAGACCAGACCGTTAGAAAAACCGTGGTCCAAACCGTACCGCACAGTTTGGTCCGGACCGTAGACCGTGAAGTATGATCTGGTCTGGTCCATGGTCTGTATTATTTTATGATTTGATCTCTTGGTCTGGTCTGGTCTAGACCGCGGTTTACCGGACCAAACCGTAGACCCAACTGACTTGTCAATACGTGTTAACAGCCCATTCGACCACTCTCCAAACTCCCACAACGACACCCAAGTCTCAACCTTAATTTTGTGAATCTCTTCCCTCCTTCATTCACAACCACATTTAACCACAGAGTAGAGATAATCGTGTCTCCATATGACATTATGTTAATGTTTATGACATTATGGTGCAAGCTGGGATGCTTTTACTTTGTATCTTTGTTATGTACTAAGATTTAGAGTATCAAAATTATTCATGCATGTTAGGATTAATGTTTTAAGGCAAATAACAATTATTTTTCTTGGTTATTGGTTCAATTTTTTGTGTGGTTGACTAAACAAATTTTTCATTTTTCGTTGAGTGTGGTCTATCTGGACCAGACCAGACCGAACCAGACCGCACAGGCGTGGTCTGGACCAGACCGTATAGTCTGTGGTCTGGTCTGTGGTCTATACTTTATCCTCTCGGTCTGGACCGTAGACCGTATATATGGTCTAGTCTGGACCAGACCGCACCGTTTCCCAGCCCTAGAGTGATGGGTGATTAGGGTTTCAAATTCAAGTAGGTTTTTTTTAATAGGTAAAACGACGTAGTTTTGGGAATATCTGGGCGGAGGTCGGTTAGCTGGTTAGCCGCGGTTAACCGTCTCGGGTTACTCGGCTAGCCGAACAGACCCTATCTCTGTCCGCCAACCGACCGACGTTACATACAGTCGGTTTTCGATTAGCCGCTAACCGATAGTTTTTGGTTGAACCGGCCGGTTAACCGCTAACTGGAAACCGAACTGCCACCCCTAGCTAGGCAGCCATATCCTTCCCTGAACAATTTTAACACATTTAACACCAACAATACATACCGGCCATGTGGAGGCAAGATCATTTCAGGCAGAGTGATGCTAGCTAGCTAGATGTTTATAGGGACACTTCCATCGATCAAGTTGTGCAAGCAAGTTTTCACACGCAGTGGCGGACAGGGCTGGGCCAACCCAGGCCCCGGCCCAGCCCTCTTCCCGATCCAAAGTTAGTTTAGTGCCTATAAAATTTTTCGATTTAGGTATTTGGCCCAGTGCTATTTAAAATTCTGTCTAGTTTTATTTGATAATAGGATTTTGTGTAACTAGGAAAATGGTTCAGATAAACATATCCAAACCATTACTCTAAATTTATATTAAATTTTCTATAGCCCCAAGGATTTTATTTGAAAAAAGACACGAAAACCTACAAGTATAAAGTTTCATTAAAATAAAAAAAAATCTATAAACTAAAGTACACCCTTCCTTGTAAAAATTCCAAAAATTCCCCAATCCCCCTAAAACAAAACAAGAACGAAGAGACGAGCAGACTCAAAATGGATTTCTCCGCCAGCCCGTCGAGTTGGTTTTCTTTCCATTCTTTTGATTAAAAAAATATTTACAAACTTGCTGAGTCATCATTTAGATTGCCTCAATTGAGTGGGACACTAGATTCTAACCGTTCTTTCTGGTGTTTAATGAAGAAAATACTTACAAACTTGCTCAAGAGTTTAGCCTCGAGACTTTGAAGGCTATGAGATGCATTCTTTGGAGAATGAAATACTCATGTGAGGAAGATGAAGTTTCTTCTCTTGCAAAATTATTAGAGAAGCTGGAGGAAACAAGGATGGACACACAATACAAATTGATTTGTCGGTTGATTTGTCTAGTGTTGACCTAGCCGTTTCAACAACTACCATGGAGAGAGTATTTACAGCAATGGAACATGAACATTGATCTGTGCAACAAAATCAACAATGAATTTCTCGTTGATTACTTAGCTATTTTCTTTGTAAAAGAGTATATTATCAATATGGATGGAGATTATATTATTGATGGATTTGCTAAATTAAAAGATCTTCATGTACAATTGGCATTGTAATGAAAATTATATTATTATATATTTTTGTTTATGGTATCTAATATTCTATTCAAATACGGCCCAGTGTTCTCTTATGTCCTGGATCCGCCGCTGTTCACACGAGCTAGCTAGCTAGCAAGAGTGGCTCCCACGTCTATTTTGAAGTCAACAAAGCTTGTAGTTATCACCATTTCACCGCCATGTCCTTACTTGACACAAGAACAAGATAATAAAAGGGTTAAGGATTCGTCAACTCCGCTTAATTGCTTGGAAAGTTTTGGCCTTTATGCCTGATTATGTTGACCCGCGAGAAATGGGTGTCCTGATTGGAGATCAGAAACCGAGTGAGAAATCCATTATAAGCTGCCACAATCAATGGCGCATTTATGCATATCCCAACTCCAACTAGAAGAAAGCCAATCAGAGTAAAGGAATCGCTTTTTTCTCCAAACAGAGAGTGTGGGGAAAAGTCGCATCTTGAAGCCTTTTTTTTCCTTGTGTAGAAAGCTGGCAAAGAGATGGGAGGAGAGAGCTAATGAAGAACATGGATAGAACTTGGCATGAATGATGCTGCCATGTGATTTGGACTGACATCGATCTCTTAATAATAATACCGGCCACTATCATCCCACTCTTCGTTTTCTGTTGTTGATTTGCATTGTCCTGGCTACAATAATATGATTATACTAATGTGATTCGCAGCTCAAGCTGATCAGATGTTAATCAGATCGAGCAATGAGATTAAAAATACCCAAAAATTTAGAATAATCAAAGAGTCATCTTGGTTATGATCTTATCCAGTATCCATTGAACCTGCAGCTAGTTGAATTAATTAATCAAATAATAGCCCTTCAAATTAACTCAATAACAAAATTAATGATAATGAAAGAAAAGCGACTTTTTTTCTTTTTTTGTTAATGAAGGAAAAACAAAACAAAACAAAAAATGGAATGGGCCGCGACAGATCCAGATAAATAATGGTGATTCTGTAGCAGCAAAAGCATGCCCATGAGCCCAACAACCAGCCCAGCAGCAGCTTGACGAGATCCCAGCTTTCTTTTTCCTCGGCGGCGACATAATTTGGTTATTTGCTTCTTCTTTTCTTCCTTTTGCGGTGTTAAAAGAGAAATTGGGGACCGGCCTTTGGCTTTAACAACCAACCTTGTTAAAGCTGTCAACTGCTCCCAACTGTACCACCTACTCCACAGCCAAGCAAACTGTCTTTGTAATATCAGTTTAATCATCATAAAATCATCTTTTTACTTTTACTTTACACACCCGACTTAAAAATAATCTTTTACTACCCTCCTTTCCAAGCAGCAGTAAATAATCAAATTAACTTGGTCAAATTCATGCAGAGAAAGCACACATATGATGATCCATCTTCCCATGTGGTTCATCTCCCGCCCAATTGGCCAGCTGTCGAAATGAGAGCGGGCCCCACCACTACAACCCAATCAGGAAGGCACGTGACATGAACGATTCTCTTCGTCGGACAATTTATCTTTTAACCCTAATCCCTAAACCCTAAACAAACAACACTGGGGAAAAACATATATATACAGTATGCGTGTTGTTATATATTACAGACCCGGTCAATCGGAATTGATAATCATATGTACAAGGATCATGCATGTGGTTAACCGCGAACTGCAGGTTTAACGAACTGTACATAACTAATTTGACATTTCTTTATGATTGATTACCGGAGGCAGGAGGATGGGCCACCATGGGTGGAGGTTTGGAGATGATGGGCCCCGCCGGCGAGTACATCGCCGGCATCCCCATTGCCGCCGCCGGATGATGATGAGATTGGTGGTGCGCGCCTCCGTAGTACTGGTACACCGGGTAGATTGGCATCATTGTATTTCCTCCGGATCCCATCATCCCCGTGTAAACCTGATGATGACCGTACTGCCCGCCGCCGCCGCCCATGTACGCCCCTCCGGCACCGGCGCCGCCGTAGCTCAACTTCTGCACGCGCCCAAAACGCATTAGCCCTCTAAACCATTTCTTAATTAAATTTAGGTAAATAGTAGGTAAGCCCATAAATACCTGATTGTAGCCCATATCGGTTGCAATGTAAGTCGGATTGTACCTGATTATTACACGAATAAACGAAAGAAGAAGAAAAAACCCTAAATTAGTAGCTGAAAGGATAAGGATCACGATCGGAGTCTGTTTCGGATCCGGGTCGGGTCTTACCCGTAGAAAGGGACGGCGGCGTGGTGGTGTGCGAAAGCGACGGCGGCAGTTGCCGCCGATGCTGCAGCTGGATAGTACCACTGAACTTGATGGTGATTGGCTGCTCCTACCGCTGACGTGGACCTCACCCCGCCGTTGGATCCTTCATTGATCACCGAAAGGGAGGGGGAAAAAAAAGTTAATTACAATTAGCAAAAGAAGTGTGATTCAATTAATCAAGCATTTCGTGGCCCATCACAAGCAGTTCGGCTATTTGTCCCGTATTTGATTACTTTGTAAGCTATCATTAGATGAAATTAATCAATCGTAATTAACGCGGTAATTAGCAACGGTTATTACCTTGTCGATTGTGGTGGTGGTGATGTGGAAGCGGCGGCGGAGTGGTGGAGGCGGGAGGGGCGGCGGCGGACCTCTGCTGCTGGCGGCGAGCGCCGAGGGAGGCGAGGTTGCAGTTGGCGCGGCGGCCGTTGATGACCGGAGAGGCGTCCTCGCAGGCCTTCTTCGCCGATTCAGCTTCCTTGAAAGTGACCTGCCGTCGTGATTTTTTAATTTGATTAGATGAAGAATGAATTGGGGGGGGGGGGGGGGGGGGGAATTGGAATTGAAGTTGGGGGATTAGGGATTTGAGGGAGGGGAGGGATTTACGAAGCCGTAGCCCTTGGATCGGCCGGTGAGCTTGTCGGAGATGATGACGGCCTCGAGGATCTCGCCGTACTTCTCGAAGTGGTCGCGCATCGTGTCCTTGGGGGTTTCCCACGCCAGCCCGCCGACGAAGACTTTGGTCAGCGTGGTGTCGCCGAACTGCTGACCAGCTCCCTGACCGGGGTTGCTGCTCATGGTCATGATCGTGGAAATTGCGCCGGCGGGTTGACGGAGGAGGACGGAAGAAGAGAGATTGTGATTTATAGAGTGGAAGGTTGAATATTTAGAAAGGGGAGTGGCGGAGAACAACAATATTGCAGACAACACAATGCCAGTGAGGAAGACAGCCTGCCAGGTCATTCTTTTATAATAATAATAATAATATTATTATTATTATTATTTAGTAGGGTTAAGGGGGTGTGATTATATCGATCTCATCAACGTGATTATACTTTTGCCGCCTCCCTAATTTTATCTTTTTGCACAAGGCTGATGATGTAGCTAGGTAGTCGTGTATTAAGAACAAAATCAGTAAGTACACGAAAATAAAAGGCTGCTTTTCTTTTTCGTTTCTTTTATTTTCCCTGCATAATTTGGATTTAATAGAGAATTTTTTTTTTCATTTTTTAACGAATTATGCACAATGATGTGTTATCATGTAAGAAAAAACTTGTAGGCAACTGTTATTTTATTATATATATATAAAGGTGATACATAGTTGTTCTTAGGCAGAATATAATATGAATATTATTAATTATTTTTAAAGCAATATAAACATAATAATATGGACGTCAATAAATTTGACGAGGAGATATATTTGTAGGAAAATTTCGATAGAATCATGATGTGAAATAATATATGGTTTATATTCGTGAATTATGGTAACCTGTAACTGGTTGTGTTTTCATTTCTAATCCAATAAGTATATTATTAAATTGTGTAATAAATGCTATCCGCTGAATTGAGTTTGGATTTGGAGAAGAAATCCGAACTATTACCATGCTTATGCTATGAGGCTATGAGCCTAGCTAGCTAGGTTACTTGATACTAAAATCCAGAATAGTACTTGATCTTGATCATATGCAATTATGCATGAACCCTTAGTTCCACTAGAAAGCGATGAAGTTGAGTATTTAACAGGCGGAAGGAGCCAGAATTAGATCAGTACTTAATTTGTGGAGTTTAGTTTTGGAGTAGTTACATATATGTGGAGTTTATAGGTGCGTCGACGGTCGATAATGTGACTTATATCGTCCCAAAAAGTTAAGCCAAGAAAAACAAAACCAGCAAATTAAACACAATTAATTATATATATATATTAATTGCAAACGGTGGCATGCATGTAACCATAAATAAAAGCATTTAATAAAACCCAAAACGAAAACCACAAGGAAACACTATTATTATGTGTGTTAAAGCATGCAGATTTTGTTATGGATATCTATATTATGGGGGTTTTCACTATGCGTACTATGCATCTACCTTATAATTGTCATTTTAAGCAGGTGCGTCACGTTAAAAAGATTTCAATTATCATTTATAGTATGATGGACAAGAAAACACATGAACTTGTACAATAATCATTTAAAATTTACTTTAATTTGAAGAATTTAGGTATTAGGGTTTGCAATTTCATATTTAGGGTTAGGGTAGAATCGAAGACCTAGGGCCTAGAGTTAGGGGTGGTAATCGGTCGATAACTGGTTAACCGGTTACCGATCAAACCGGTTATCGGTATACCGTTCACGGGGTGGGAGCAATCGATTACCGATACCGAATTGTAACCGGTTAACCGGTTACCGAATACCCGGTTACCGGTTACAAACTAGTTATACCGACTAACCAGGAGACTCACCCTCTCCTCTCTTTCTCAATCCCGCAACCGGACTCTCTCTCTCCCCAACCCTCCCCAGACCTCCTCTCTCGCTCGTTCACCTCTCCCCAACCCTTCTCAGACCTCCTCTCTTTCTCGATTTCCTCTCATCTCCCCAACCCTATCCAATCGCCGCCCACCGCTGACGTCGCCTTCCTCTCTCGATCCAGATCTCCGGCCGACACGACAGTTCCCCCGCCGTCTCGAGCGTCCCCAACCTGATTGGTGGCCTTTTCCGAGTCCCGAATCAGCGGCGGCGGCAGCAAGGAGAAAGAGGAGATGAGTGAGGCGACAACCATCCCGTCGTCATATCGTCGTAACCCTCCCTTCGCTCCTGCCGCTCCCACCAGATCTGGAAAGATTGAACCTCTGCTTCAGCTCTTCGACAACGAATCGACGGCGGCTCATCCTTGGAAGGCGAGGTCGCGTACTGTGTCGAATGGAGGCAGAGCGGTGGAGAGGGAGCCGGGGTCGGAGAGGGAAGGCGAGGTCGCAGAGAGGTGGAGGCGGCGTCGGCGTTGGACAGGGAGAAGGGTTGGGGAGGAAGTCGAGTGAAGGGAGGCTGTCGGACAGGGAGAAGGGTGGTTGGATCGATCGATTTGTTAGGGTTTCTGTCTCTCCACTCCACCCCTCGACGCCGGTATCGGTATACCGGGAAACCGTCGGTATTTACCAGCAGAGGAGCCGGTATACCGAAATCCTTTTAGACGCTGCCGAATACCGAAACATCCCGGTTATCGGTATACTGATAACCGCCGGTTATCGGTACGGTTATCGGTTAAACCGGTAACCGAGAAACCGATTACCACCCCTACCTAGAGTAATGCATTGATTAGTTGAGAACTTTCGTTACATCATCATATTAGACTAATACTTCAAATTCAAATTCAAGTTGGATGTTTTAACACTAATTTTAGAAATTATACAGTAGTTTCTGTGAGTGCAATGTAGAAGTCACCTTACTTTGTGGAGACACCAAATATAATGTAGTAATTGGGAGAACAACCCAACTGGCCATCTTAAAAGATCTGTTTATTAATTAGTTCTTTACTAAGCCCTAGCTACTCACGCACTTGTACAGGTGTGTGCATCATGATGAGATGGATGGGATATGTGTTGGATTGGATCCTTTGAAAGCATTGCAGAATGCAAATTGCAGACAGCCAAATTAGCTAGCTAGCTAGCTGGTGCAAGTCTGAAGACTGAAATGCATTATATGTATTCCCACTGGACTATACTATAGGGTCGGCATTCGGTCGGTTCGATTTCGACCGAACCAAAATTATGAATACCGGATTCCCGAATTCTTCCAATCCTCAAACCGAATTCGAAGCGAATTATAATTCGGTTCGGTTTTTCACACAAAACCGAATTTGTGAAGCTACTTGTATTTTCTCACTTTTAAATTATTTTTCATCCTTAATATAAACAATAAATATCAATTATATGCATCATCAATGATAAAATCAAACTTTTCAACACATAAGTCAAAAAACATTTCAAATATTTAAGTCTAAAAACAACTACAAAGATAAAAATCCACCATTTGGAGCTTGCAATTATAGTATTTCGGTTTTTCGGTCGAAAATTCGATTCGGTTAAAAGAACCATGATTTCCGAACTATCCATATTTTCCTTCCGAATTACGAACCAAATAGCATTAATTTGATTTCGGTTCGATTTAATTCAGTTCGGGTTTGTCTTCATACAATTACTGTCTGGAATTATTAACGTGGCCAGCTATTTGGCATTAGCATATGGAGGAGGGTGGAAGAGAGAGAGAAGGGTTAAAAATTCCCTGAAAAAAGTGCAGATTCTTCAAACTTTTGACCAAACAGACGGGAAACCCACGCGGAAGATCGATCTCTCTGCCAAGAACAAATTGCATACTTTAAACTTAACTAATGAGCACATTATTATTATTTTTTTGTATGTCTTCTGTTAGAGCACGTCTTAGTGAATTGTGGAAGAGTCTACAAAGATTGATGAAGAAACTTATATTTTTCATGTGTTCATGGAGAAGGAAGTGGTATTTATTATCCACCGAACAGTCACTTAGTGTGTTAGTAAACGATATATGATCCATTATGAAACATTTCCCAACAACTCGAGTTATTGAGAGCAATCGGTTCCTGACATAGTATCAGAGCCTAATGTAACCATGAGGTCTTCTGTTCAATTCCCGATGACCCTCATATGTGCTTGTGCAAACTCCAAGCCTATCTGAGTGGGCTTAGTGATCATTCGCATGTATGGAGAATATGGTTTCTACTTGGTCGTCGTAGCTTCATTTTGGATCCAAAACAGGAGGACTAACTATAGGTTGTATTTTGAGTATATTATTTGACTTGTTTTAACCACACATAATGCATGTATGAGAGGAATGCATGATGTATTCATAATACATCGAAAATTATGTATACTTGGTCTCATATTTTTGTTCAAATTGCCGAAACATGTGTATCAACTCACCCAAACTAATAAGTTTAGAAAGATTCTGATTTGAATGAGACATGCGTTACTATGAATAGTCCATGCTAATTGTTAAGTGATGACCCAAAACTTAATGAGTAATGACCAATGTTTCCCTTTCGAGAGAACTAGTTCAAATCAAGATGTTTCATCAAGGAAGATAATATAAGTGTATTAACTGGTGTGGGTCGCCAGATGGGAAAGAGAGGACCCAGGAACAATGGGTCTTCTTTTTGTTGGATGGCATGGTCTTGTCTTGTGGATCCATGAGCTGGATTTTGCAGAACACACACACTCACTCTCTCTCTCTTGCTCGCTGGCAATCCCCCGGAAAGAAGAAACAACAACTCGGTCATAACTCGCTGGCTCGCTCATTCACTCAACTCAACCCAACTCAGACATTCCATGAGCTTTTAATTACTGCATAACTAACTAACTAACTAATTAACCATGATTGTTTGTGGCTAATCCTTCCTTGCCTGGCTTTGTAGTAGTGCCTATTGACCACTCCTAATATTGTTTGACCGTCTTCATCTCCTCACACTAGCATCGTCATCATCACAACCCACGTGCCATCATATGGCTCACGTGCCCCCAGCTCCATTGATCTTTATATCTTCCATTGTCTCCTCTTTGCTTCAGCGCTTCTCGTGGGAATTGTGGGTGGCGGACAGATAAAGAGCAAAGAGTACACAGTCCACACTCCAGCACCACCACTGGAAATGAATGGAAGCCAACCCAAATTCCCTTCAATCATACAGCTCGCAATGAATTTCGTTCTAGAGTCATCTTGGCCTTCTCACTTCTCACACACAGACATGACACAATGCTACCTTGCTCTCCAAGCTTTGCCTCACTCGTTTCTGCTTTAATGTTTTCACTATCATTCACTATACGATACATCATCGTAAAGTCGTTCTTGTGGATGGGTTGTGGTCGTCGTGGATCGGTGATTTTCCTACCCGCACTTATTCGGGTGGGTTTTGGCTCGGTGATTCTCCACGCTCCCAGGCAGCAAACATGGTGAAGAATTTATGCGCCACGAACAAAAAAGAAAATCCTTGCAGTCCAACCGGTTTCCAACAAGCCAAAAGACAACACAAATCCATGCTGCACTGAAATGGGTTAGACAAACCTTCATCCGGCCAAACCGCTCAGAAGGCACCTGTTCATCAGGAACTATGACAATGAATAGGATTGGGATAGTCCACTTACGAAACTCTCATTATTGGATTAGCCATACACTGTACATATTTCTAGCGATTCACATGGTATCAATGCATTCGGATACTGATCAATGCATTCGGATTAATCTGCTCAAACCTCGTAACTTTTTCAGATTTCTTCAAATGGTTCTATCCATATACGGGGAGGAACAGCGAAATTTACAGGCACTAATCTCCAGCTATCATCAAATCTGGTTCACTTCTCACAAGTAAATACTAATTTACCAAATCAAACCAACCCCCCAACACTAACATTCAAAACCAGAATCCCAAAAACTCATATCACCACAATGTTTTCAATCACGCACCAAAAGGAACTATAAGGACACAGATTGATACAATGTGTCGACAACAAAACAGTTTTTTTTTTACCAGCCTAGGATACTTTGCATTGGTAATATGAGATACCGTCGCACTCTCTACTCGTTGGCTTGCATTGCATGAACTTTCATATGCTGTACTTGTCACTGCACATCATCAAGAGCGCTACAAAAGGTTAAAACAACAAACAACTATTCATCAAGAAAGGATGTAGAAGAGACGAAATGAAATCCTAAACATGGACTATTGGTATCCTATTAACGAGCAACAATGTGACCCATGATGATGACTAGGTCATGCAATGAAAGCGTGCCTGTAACAGGTTGGAATAGAAAGCACTTGAAAACTCCAATACTGTGGTCTGTGAATACTCGTGTCGGTAAAAGATTTTGAGAGGCAGAATCCGGATAAAAGCTGCTACACAACTACTAGTTCGCAAACTTATAATTATTCAATTGGCTACATATATAACATTCTAAAACATCTTCAAGAATGTTTCTCAGAGAGGACTCAAGAGAAGATAAGCAATCTCCAATGAAGAAATGACAGCCATCATATAAATTCTTATGTTCAGGCCTGGCCAACTATTACTGAGCAAATGGCACAGCAGCTATCACATTTCGCTACAATAAATAAAAACCACTCAGATCACTATGTGAAACTCCAACCAAATGAAGAAGCAGTCCAAGAGTACTAGACTATACTGCATACAGTGACAGGACATAAGAGCGAGTCATCTGTTCCAGACTATTTATCCCCCCATATGCAACCTGAATGACGGACGATAATTGATCTTTTGGAAGAAAATAGTCAAATTTTAGAAACTCATGCAGTATCTTTGCGACCAAAATGTGCAGTATGCACGCATGAATATCACACAGCTTGATATCCCTTAAGTTAATTTTCAAACCCTACTGTTATTCTAAAAGTCTAGTTTGTTGCTATTCTTCATGCATATGCCTACAAATGGAAAAGAAAGAGGAGAGTTGAAAGGGGGTGGAGAGAGGAAGAGAGGAAGACACACCTGCTGACTCATGTAGTCCAATGACCCCTGTATAGCATACTGTCATATTCACCCGTCACGAGCGTTCCACAGGAAAGGAACAAGTCAGATAATGCTGCAATCATTAAGGTAGAAGATTAAATTTCCAGAACATAACCATTTAAAGCAAAACCACAGAAAGTTCGACAAAGTTACCTGTGCATTTTGAGCAGACATGCCACCAACTGGATCCCTTTTGACAGATCCTTCTACACCCCTAATAGGCCCTTTGGCATCTCCCTGCCATACATTGTTCAAAATTTAAAACACATAAAAAGGATATTAAATTTAGATTAATCATTGTGTGATTTAGTCCAGAGAGGGTGTCAAATTACCTCCAACTGTGTCACCGCAATCACAGCATAACAAATTAAACCAAGAAAAGACATAGAAAAGGAAGATTAGTAGGCTCCATATCACTCAAAACTGTGAAAGCTTGACAATAATTTAAAGGAAGAAGTAAAATGGAATTAAGTGAAGGATCAGTTACCTCTCTGTACCTATTAAGGTACGCCTTGAGTGGCTCAATGTAATCTTCGAAGCCTAACGTTGCCATTGCCCACAACAAATCATCCCCATTGATTGTCTTCCGCTTCTCCTTTTGACATTTATCACTCGCCCTTCAAAGAAGAAGAAAAAAAAACTTCACACCAGTTTCTCACTCACTCCAAGCCCCACAATTATAAGTACCCAGCCAGTCCAGATTAACATCCAGAAAGTGAAATAAAATATATATTAGGTAGAAAACTATTATATCTCCATGGATTTCACAACTGGCAACCTTATCTGAATAACTCTAGCAATGAAACACAAAAATGCAGAAGTTACAGTCCCACAGGTTTCAGACATGACAGTTCCCAGAATAGAACCTTGAAACACAAGATTGTAGCTGTTTCAAACACATTAATCACCAATTCACCATAGAGAAACCAAAACCAAACTTAGTTCACACCACACATCACAAAGTTCATCCGACCGGAAACAACCATATATATATCATACCGAAGAAAACAGAAGTTCAACTCCTACTAAACAGTCAAATCACACAAAACCGGATAAAAATCATCAAAGCGTAAAAAAAAAAAACCCCTTCAAACTTACTCGCTGGTGATGAAACTGATAAACTCAGATACACATTCCTGGACAGTATCCTTGGCGTCCTTAGCGATCTTGCCGTTGGCAGGCAATGCCTTCTTCATGATCCTGCTAATGTTGGCGATAGGGAGGAACCTGTCCTGCTCCCTAACCCCGGAGTGAGGGCTCTGCTCGTGCTCACCCCCGCTCTCGTGACTCCCCCCTGCCGGACTACCTGGATTATCTGCCATCCCGCAGCACACTCCCTACAATCACACTAATAATCAGAACAAAATAAGACCATTAGAGCAGTTCCAGCAAAATCCCTTAAGCACCTCTAATCCCTAGGAAACCCCGTCGGAATCATGAAACTTCAGCCCCACTTACCAAACCCTACTACGGTTTGACTACACAAAGAAGAAAGTCAGAAAATCCACAAAACTATCTGCCTCCCGACTGCCGCAAAACCGAACCATTTCACTCCACGCTAAACCGAAACCAGCATATCCACACCACATACACACACAGAAACGCAAATGAAGAGGGGATCGAAAAAAGCCCTAAATGCCTGCTCACCGACCGCAGCTCAAGACATCATCCGTGCAAATCAGGCAGATAAGCAGAGAGAGAAAAACAAGAAAATGAAGGAACTAAAAAGAGAGCCGAAATCGAAACCCTAGGGTCTACGAAGCAGAGGGAGAGAAGGAGCCGTGGTTGGGAAGAAGCTACGTACCTGTAGAGCGAGAGAGAGGGCGGAGGGAGAGAGGGAAGGTGGTTTTTGTATTTGAGCGCGCAGGAAGGGAGGGAAGGAGGTTGATTGGTTGGAACGATTTTTTTTTTTTTTTTTTTGGCGATTTAATCTCAGACAGAGAACGCCGCAGATCTGACGATGGAGAACACGAGCTTTTCTCGCTCCTGATGCGATGCAGCGAGAGAGAAGCTAGCGGAGCTTGGATTGGTGTTTGGTTTCTCTCTCTATCAATCACGAACCGTTGGTTCCTTCCTCTTTCCGCCGCCCGCCCGCTCATTTTATATACGCCGCCCAGTGGGCCCCACAGAATTGGGCCTTGTTTGCTGTACCCCAATCTTTACCCTTCTCCTAATTGGGCCTTCGCGGCTGTTGGATTCTGGAACAATGATAAGTGGGCTTACTGACCTTGTAGTCCAACTGGGTGCGTCTGGAAGATCTTAGAGCATGCTGGCAGTATCAATAATCAAAACAATGATTAGTGTTAGTAAAACCGTATCATACCAACCGTCCAATCCGAAAAACCTGTTATTGGAATCAAAGTCGGTACAATACTTTTTTTTGGGTATGAAAGGTTAAACAACGATTTAATAAAAAAAAGTATCCTACCACAAACTTTTTCCTCCAATGCGGTTTACTGTTTAAACCAAGATTTGCATGCGAACTGTGCTATAGTCAAAAGATTTTAAAGTGTGAAATATGACACATTTTGTCATTCTTCCAGGCCAAATTTGGCCCTCAATGAGAAAGTGGTTTTTGTGGCTTCTTTCATTATGCTCGTTGCAAGAGTACAAACTGTTCAGATTGGATATCCCTCCACGAACGCCTTCTTCATCACCTCATTCTGTCCAAGCAAGGAAACACAACAAACATATGAGGATTGCGCAAAGGCAGTCCCTGAAATCCCCTATTCCTGCCTAAACTATGGCATGGCATGTATAATAACACATATATACACAATCGCCTAAATTCTTTCACCTGGATTATTGCGGTGATCCTCCCAGGATTCATCTGATAACACCATGGAAAACAAAATACTTATGTCAACAGCTGATACAAGCAGAAGATTGAACAACCACTGATAGACATCAAGTATCTCGACATGTTTTACATACCGCAAACTGCTTTTCCTCCCACGAGATCTCCTCCGGATCTTTATGTTCCAAGGACTCCCATGAATGTGGGAACTGGATTCTTTCCACAGGCCGTATGATCCTCAGGCTATCTGTAGTTAAAAATGAATACTTCAACTGAGTGGGAATGGGTCTCGGCAGTCGGCAGTACCAGGGGATTGAATTTCAACCTCAACCATCAAACATTAAGCTAGTTGGATGAGATACATGTCCCTCCAATGCAGAAGCATTCAGAATTGGGAACCTTAACAAAGACTCGGCAAAATCCTGTACCAGCAGGGTAAAGAAAGGATGATAATGACTGCTAGTGATTAACCAGATAACTACCGTGAGATCGTTCTGCTTTGCTAATGTTCTCTATTACAAGACCAAAGCGTGACCATGCCAGTCCAAGTAACTGTAGCAACCAACAACTTAAACTGACTACAAAGACAGATAACTCATGCAACCCTAAACTCATTGATGAGGTAAGGAAACGTATACTTTACTTGTAACAAAGGCTTCCTGCCAAAAGTCACGCCCAGACCATGAAGGAGCAACTTCTTGAACTGATATCCCTTTGCTTAAGCACACTCTTCATAGAATCATAGTCAAAACAGCTTTGTCATGACTCATGAATCCGCTTGAAGTAAAGAGGAAGCATAGAGATTTGTCAAAAAAAAAAGGAGAAACAAGAGATAAAAATATACAAGGAGTACACGTTACAAGAAACCTTGTCAAGATGGAAACTGCTCCTATTCAGGGAAAAATCATAAACTGCTGTGGTTCCCTCTAGGATATGTAGGTATCCAAATCAAAATGGATGTATAGGGGGAAAACGTACTCAAGAACTAGTTGACGGATTATTCCTGGAAGAACACCATCAGAAATGGGGGCTGTCTGTACTTCGTAAGGATTTTCACCAACTCCTTTCCCTTCCTGGAAACACCTAGACCAGTACAAAGTCAGAAATAAGCTGCAAACACATTCTGCAGAATATTTTCAGGAACCAGAGTAACCTAATTGAACTTGCCAATGAAACAATCTAATTAATTTATAGTCACTCAGTACATCTATCACCCAATTAGTGAAACTTCAAATAGTTTCGAGTCTATAAAGCCAGCTGATAAGCAAGATCTCAGCTTTCAAAAACATCATGCTTGACCTGTTATACCATGATATTAGTGTTGCTAGTAGTTGACAAAGTTCAGCAATGAATGATCTTAATATCATTGGAGCAGGAGCACACAATTTTTATCAATCTCTCTATCAGTGAAGCAACTTGATCGACTTTGGAGCATTGATGACTCACCCTGCGACGAACAACGAAGAAATTTGTCAGGCAGCCTTCAAGCAAATGATCTCCATCGTTAGACAACAGGAGTTCCGTCACCGAAGTAGGTCTCAATCTCTCCAGCGGCTTCCTTAACCTGGGAAAACATCCCCCCCCCCCCAAAAAAATCCCCATTGAGACAAAACGTCGAACACAAGAACGACAACACTAAAACACAGTCCGCCGCACCTTACCCAGTCGGAATACTTAGCTTCCGCCACGCTTCTGCCTCGCCCCACAACCGCCAATCTCGCAGCACCCTCCGGCCGATCAAATGCCAGAGCAACGTAGCCGGCCAAGTGAACATAAACATCCAGCATCTCCGCCGGACTGTCTGATCCACTCGCACTCTCCATTCCCCTGAGCTTCTCCACATTCCCGCTGACAAGAGCCGTGATCGCCAGCTCCTCACCTTCCTTCCTCAGACCTTCTCTCAACGCAATCGGCAGCACCTGGTCAACGGAGTCCTTAACCAGAGACTCAACCGCAGAATCCCACGCCGATGACTCGACTAACGACGGTGGAAGGGAAAGCTCCGATTTCTCCGGCTTGAAGAGAAGCCGTGGGTCTCTAGAGAGGAGAATTCGGGCAGAGTTTGACAGCCGTCGTAAGTGCCGTTCCCAGAACAAGATACAAGCGCCGTCGCTGTGAGTCCGCGTCGTCGTGTACGCGCCTGGGTGAGATTGAAGTAAAGTGGCTACCGGAGGGACGTCGGGCGATGAGGTAATGACGCCGTTGCTGAAGAGGAACTTGCAGTCCGTCATCGTCCGACGATTCGCCCCGATATCTGATTTCTTCCATCAACATTCAACACCAATCTCCAGCTCCAGCCATTTTCGCCGGAACCAAGCTTCCTCAAGTTTCGGCCCATTCATTCAGGCCCAATACAGACCATGAAAGCCCAACGGCCCATACACTTCCCACGTCGAAAAAATCCCTTCCCGCCACCGTGTAGTTTTATCAGAGCTCAAAAGCCGTCGAAATTCAATTTTCCCGCGGGACGAACGCGCCGCCGCTGATCAGACGGTACGGAATCAAAGATCTCTTCATACGACGGCAAGACGGAACTGGAACGTCGCCTCTTCTTGATGAAGAAACTCGGAAACCCCAAGAGATTCCCATTTTCGGAAGCAGCAAAAGAAGAGAAGAAAAAGAACCGCCGCGGCCCTTGTTCAACCGACGCATCTCTTCATCCCGTGAAGTCACGAACTTTGATCGGAGAAAGGGAGTTAAACGAACAACAATGTCGCCATATAAGAAACCTGCAACTACAATTTCGTCCTCCCCATTCCGCCATTCTCAAGCGTCGAATCATCAGCAAAGCAATCGGCCTCTACTCACCCACACCAGCAATGGGTTCTTCACCTCCTCCCCTGTATCCCGCTTCTAATTTCGAGTCCGCCCCTGTCTCCCAACACGAACTCAAGACCTTCCACCAAATCGACCGCCGGCTCTACTCCCGACTGGTGTTCGACCTCGACCGCGACCCAGAACAATCCATGAGAGTAATGGCGCTGTGGCTGTTCCTGGAGAGATCGAAGTACGTCCGTTCGATGGTGCAGACTCTGTTTTCTTATAACGACTTCCTGATCAACGCCCTGGTCGACGAAACCATGCTCTGCTTGAAATGTCTGGACAACGAGCGGTACAGTCCCTTCATTGTTCACTCGATTCACGAAATTCCCCTCCTCTATAACCTCTCCGGGAGCAGAATTACCCTTCCCTTCTTCCGCGAGAATCGGGTCGCAGTCCTCAGGGGAGTCGTCCAACTTATTGCCGATGTCTGTGTCAGAGTGTTTGATGATCAGTTAGCGTGTGCTGTTGAGAGCAGAGCTTTTGCTTTCGCAATGCGGCAACAACAATTACAACAACAACAACAACAGATGCAGAGTGGCTGGAACTACTACGGTCCGGAAATCGGTGTACCGATTTGGAATCTGAAAGTCCACCATGGATATGATGTCGCTGGTGGGAGCTATCGTCCTCAAGAGACTGACAACAACGTTCTGGAAGAACTGAAGGGTGAACCGAGTGGAGGCTACTTGAATTTGTTGCTGAATCCTCACGACAATGCTGCTTCATCTTCTTCGTCGCCACAGGTGGATGAAATCGATGCGGGCGTGAAGAAATTGGAGATCCACGGCGGTAATGGAAGTGAGGGCGACGGTGATGGAGTGCCAGCCGATGAGAGGACTGTTTTCCTGACGTTTTCCAAAGGGTACCCTATCTCCGAACGCGAAGTCAGAGACTTTTTCTCCATGTAAGTATGCGTTGAGCCCTTGTTTCTCTTCTTCAAAGAGAGAGAGAGATCCTAACTTGTGTTTGTTGGGAGCAGGAGATTCGGGGACATTTATGAAGATGTCCATATGCAAGAAGTGACGACGGCAGAGGAGCAGCCACTGTACGCGAAGCTGGTGCTGAGGGTGCAGGGGATGATAGAAGTGGTGCTCAATGGGAAGAGGAAGGCCAAGTTTTCGATCAACGGGAAGCATGTCTGCGCTCGCAAGTACATCAGGAAAGGCAGCACACCACCACGGTAGTCATCATCTCTCGGCGATGCATAATCTGCTCCGTCGATCTTGCAGCCCGACATACACAATAATAAGGGATCTGTATTTGATATAATATAGCCTTGTGGACACACAAAATTTTGTCTGAACTACTCACACATACAATTTTGTTGCAACTTGTAAGGATTTCAAACCTCATGCCGGGTAAATTTAGCTCTACTCAGTGTTGTCCCATTTTGGACGATGGCCCTGTCCCAATTTTTGCCCTCCTTGAGCTAAATGACCAAAAATTCCAATAAACAAACATCTAGCATATACATCGCTACATTCATCTGTCAAGTAAATGGTATATGAATCATTGATTAGCGGCAGATCACAAGAACAGCCTGAAGCATATGCCAGAGTGACTCGAAATTGTCAATTATTTACAACAAGTACAAGATAGATATACAACGAGTGAGGCACCTATTTCAATCAGCTAGGGGTTTACTTTCTTCACCTTCTAGGCAAAGAAGCTTAGAGCTAAAACTTATAATATCTAGACTAGAGCAACTTGAATCCTGACCTGTGCGAAATGTCGAAAACAGATATAATGATTTCAACACTGATTAATACAATGATGAGCCATTCGAGGAAGTCTGATTTCCTGTTCTGCAGAATCTCCTGAAGGAAACGGATATTATGCTGTGCAGTAGACAGAAGAAAGAGAGTACCTCAGAGATGAAATATAATGAGCCTACTTTGATTTGGTTAATTGAATGGCAATCAATGATGAGACTCAGAGGGTTACCTCCACAAACTTCAACTTGAAATCAAGACTTGCAAACCTCTGAGTTAATTCAAATTCATCTCTGAGGTATTCCCATATCTGACCGAATTTTGCATCTTTCCATGCTATGTCGGATCTATTAGGACAAAGTAAGAGAGTGAAAAGCAGTTGGTATATAATCAACTCTGGCCAGTCAACCATAGAAGAACATATGTGCCTCATACAAATTTTGACTGCCTATATTGAAGAACTAAATACAGACTAATAACTTAAGGCTTCACGTACTAGTACTGCACTATTTTCATACTAAGTACGAAAAACAAACCAAAATGCTTATTATTCAAAAGACAAAAGTGCAAGTTCCCCGAGCAGTGATATTTACCTCTCAAAAAGCCCCAGCTTCAGAATAATGTCAGCAAGATTAGAATTTGCTTTGCCAACTAATTGGAAAAGCTTTTTGCTATCCATGGAAAATGTTCCGGTTTTCTCCATCCCACGATTGATGTCAGTGAATTCAGCAACCATTCCATCGACCTGAAGAAAGAAACAATCACATAAGATAAGCGATCCAACAATCAGAAACCTACAAGCTGAAGATATTAAAAGAGCACATACCTGGCGTCCATAGTAGTCAAGAGCAATACTTTGACCAAGAACACTACCAATTGTACGAATCCCATCAATGTTCAGAAACTGCAACATTATATGATCAAGTCCAGCTTGCATCCAAGTGTCAAGATTCGGCTTCTCTCTCACCTCATACTCTTTTGGATACAAATTACAAAGTTCAGATTAAGTTAGATTGCCCATGGTAAGCTGCTTAACGCGGATTCAGAAATGGTTCGGTTGCCACTCAATGGTAGACCTCTTTCTGGCAACAGACTAACCAACTAGCATATGTAAGTGCAGAAACCAAAGAACTCACAGCAATCCCGACAACCGAATCAAGAGAGAAAAAGACAAAGCGCGGCTTACCATCCTTTCTCATCTCATGGAGCACTCCCGATGCATGATTTCTGACAATTTTCAAGTAAGCATCGACTTCATGTTCACGGGCATTAAACAAGACGATAGATCCATATTGAAAGACCACCATGTAACAGCAATCACTCCCTCCTATGCAAGTGCCCAAACCCTGAGAGTCGTTTACAGTCAAATTAGAGCACTGCTGAAATGAAAACCTCACTAAAAACCCCACCAATGCTACTTGCAAGAACTGAAAGCAACTTACACTTGTCGGGCAAAGATCCCCAAACTTGAGAAGAACATAATTAGTCATACGCGATGTAGGCGGGATGAAGTTCGGCTTGTTTTGTTCCACTAAGCTCTTCAAATCCACACTGCATACAGCAACAGCAAAGACTTGCAGGAAGCTAATAATGCAGACTTACGGCTCCAATTTCATTCCAAACAACGAATCATCATGCCTTGTCTCGCTTCATTACAGTTCAAATTCAAGGGGGAATTGAAGGAAGTCGAGAATTCCAACCTAGTAGAGAAGAAAAAAGCACGAACGGGAATCGCCGGCCTGGCATCCTCCTCCACGGAACCATTTCCCTCACCAGCTTCCACGGTACCATCTCCAACCTCAGAGCACAACACCGGCTCGCTCCAGTTCATACCGCCACTTGGCTGCTGCCGCTGCTGCGGCAGCGAAGAAGACAGCGAGGACAAGCACCTCGCAATCACCAAAGCTCCGCCTCCGCGACACATCCCAATGCCAGTAATAGCTACCTGACGGCCGCCATTATAGAAGCCGAGGACGGGAAATGGAGCGGAGCAGACGACGGAGGTGGTCAGGGAGCTGTAGGACCGGGTATCGGAGCGAGGCCTGATCGGAGAAGGAAGGTGGAGCAGGGAATTAGGGTTGGGCTGAGCGTGGAGGTAAGTACGGAGGGGCAAGCGGACGGTTCTGAGGTGAAGATCAATGGAGCGCCACATTGCTCTTCTCTTCTCCGAGCAGAAAGTGGGAAGCAGGACTGGCGAGAGTCAGAGAGAGATGAGAAAGAGGGGTTTTGGACAAATCATTGATCGTTGATTTTGCGGAGGTTTGTGATTTGGGCTTTCCGGAATGGGCTTCTGGAAGGAAATTTGGGCTTTTGCTATATGAAAGAGAGGTCGGCGACTACATAAGGGTGGTAGAATGGTAGTCCAACCCATGATCGGGGTATTTGACCGCTTCCGATTAAATCAACGCGGGAAATTTTTGGTTCTTCACATTGATCGAGTATGGAATGAGTATGAATCTAATTCACAAAGACATTGATAGTATTGAACATGTATGGTTTTGGACTCTCTCGCCTTATACACACTCGTGTCTGCACCAATAAGAGTAGTTCCTCATATATATATAAAAAAATTGGGATTATATTGAAACTTATTAATAAGAAGAAAGGAAATTCAAATAAATAATTAATGAAAGATATATAGTGGACACCCAATCTAAAATCTAATTTGTTGTTCTTTCATACTCTGTTCTTCAATTCGAACCCTCTATCATATGTACCAATTTCATTCTTTGTTTACTTTGCTTTGGCTTACATATGGATTAATGAATATCTACAATTGAATGCTTTGATTTCATGATTTGTTAGGTACTTTTAGTGTTATGGGGATGGGGTATCTGAAAATGTTCAGTAATCCACATTAAATATATGGGGCGAGTATTATCTATGAGTATATGAAAATCATGTGTATAGGGCTGAATTTACAAAACCTTCCTCACAAGAATATGAGATGGTTAAAGGTTCGATTATTTAGAAATGGGGATGGTTTAGGGAAACCAACTCCATTGTCATCCCTACATAAAGTTGGTCGATTGGGTTAATGGATTTATGTGAATTACCATTTACTACCTTAGTATCTAAGCTTTCATATATTTACTTATCTCAAACTTGACGGAGTCTTGTAATCAACATCTTTTCCCCAAAATACCAAACTTACTAAAAAAATGTAAAATACAATTGTATAACCAAAACTTTCGCGTTTGTGTCAATAATAGCAAAATTTGGAGAAATACCACTTATAGTCACTTCCGTCCAATTCTTTAACGGTGTCATCTAACAAATTGACTAGACTAACAGAAACGTTGACATCGCGATGTTTGGTCAGTAACATTGTCATGTGGATTTAAATTTAAAAAAAAAATATTTCCCCTCTTATCTTCTTTCCCCTTTCGTTCCCCTGCCGCCGCTCCCGTTAGACTGATCTTCTTTTTCAGTTCCAAATTTCCTTACCCCGACGTGGCTCTCTTTTTGTTCCTCCCTTGCGCAAGCTCGACGAGAAGGTTTCCTCACCATATTCCACCCAGGATCGAGGCGAAGGGAAGGGTATTCTACAACACCACCAAATCATTCCTAGGTCATTTTGGGTTGGCTTTGTGCCCCATTCTGATTTGAGGTCGGAGGCGGGAGAATTGCTTCTCTCAGAAGGAGGGATTCCAACAATCATCGACGAACAATGACTTGGAGAAGGTCTAGCTAGTGCTGGAACAAATACGCCCTGTTTCAAAATTCGCAGGCGACAAACTCACCAAATCGATCTAATTCGGTGTCGGAAAGCTGAAGAAAAGACTTCCTCATTGGGGTTCTCCAGCTCGTGTCTCCAATCGAAACAAGGGCGGAGCAACTCGATTATGTTGGACTATATTGTAAAGTAGACTTAGTTTAAGTACCTTGTTGTAATGTTTGTTTATATTATGTACTGTTTTGTTATTTTACTTATTTACAGCTGTATATATTGTATCACGAACAGTGTAAATTTCACCTTTGATGAAATAAAATAAGTAGCCTTTTTGCCTCCCAACATGGTATCAGAGCAAAATCGTTTCTAGAGAGTTCTTTCCGTTTCGTCTCTTTTCTTGCTTCCGCGTTCTCTTTCCATGGCGACTTCTTCCGCCTCTTCCTCTTCGTTCCAGCCGCCGTTGCCGATCTCGGCGACGCTCGCACCAAATCACCCGTACTTCATCAGTTCTGGCGATTCGTCCACGGCGCAGCTTGTTTCCGTCGTTCTCACCGGTCCGAATTATCATTCCTGGGCTAGATCGATGAGATTTGGGCTTCTGTCGAAGAACAAGATCTCCTTCGTCGATCCTTCCGTCCCGACGCCTCCTGCTGGCGATCCGCTCTTCCAGGCCTAGCAGATGTGTGACACGCTCGTCCTCGGGTGGATTCTCCGGTCGCTCTCGCCGGAGATTGCACAGAGCGTTCTCTGGCTCAACACTGCGGTCGAAGTTTGGCGAGATCTCCAGGAGCGCTTCAGCATCGCAGATCTAGTTCGCGTCGCTGATCTACAGGATGAGATCTATGGTCTCAAACAAGGCGATCTTTCTGTAAGTGCGTTCTTCACTAGATTTAGGGTTCTTTGGGACGAGTTGATGACTTACCATCCTGTGCGATCTTGTGCATGTGTTCCTCGCTGTTCTTGTGCTGAGTACATGAGAGTAGATCAGGTTATTAGGTTCTTGAGAGGTTTGAATGAGGATTTTGAGTCTGTTAGGTGTTCGATACTGTTAATGGATCCTCTGCCTCCCATTAACAAGGTCTTCTCCATGATAGCCCAGCATGAGCGTCAGATTAGGAACCCTAACCCTAAACCTGTCAATCCTATGGCCTGTGTTGTTCAGTCTGGTCCTCATAGGGGGAATAATCAGTCGAAAAGGCCTGTTTGTTCGTTTTGTGGCTTGACTGGGCATACTGTTGATCGTTGCTACAAGAAACATGGTTATCCACCAGGGTATAAGCCACGTCCTAGAGTCAATGTTGTGGTTAGTGAGTCTGTTGACACTAACAATTCTGGTTCTAGTGAGAACGGAAGTGTTCCTTCCGATTCTGTTGTTTTGACACAGCAGCAGTATAGAGCATTGTTTGCTCAGAGTCACCCTCAGGCTCTTCCTCCTCCAGTCCCTACTGTGAACTCTATCACCACTGGAGGTTGTGTCAAGCAGTCTTATCCATCACACACTGCATTCCTGGCTTCTTCCTCAGGTGCTTCCTCAAGCCAGGATGGAGGTAAGTTTATTCTTGCCAATTCTATGGTTGTTAACACATCTAAATGGATTTTAGATAGTGGTGCTTCTGATCATGTGGTGTCTGATATTGCTTGTTTATTATCACCTGTTGCTGTGTGTGATGTGTTTGTATCATTACCGAATGGTTCTCGAGTTCCTGTTACTCATATAGGTTCGGTTAGGCTAAATGACCAGTTAATTCTGCAGCGAGTTCTTTTAATACCTAATTTTGGTTTTAACTTGATCTCAGTTAGCAAATTAAGCAAAGATTCGTCATGTTCTTTGACGTTTTTTACTGATCATTGCTTACTACAGGATCTGGCTTCCCACAAGATGATTGGTATAGCTAGAGAGAGCGGTGGACTTTACTGTTTTTCAGAAACAGTGCACACCTCAGCTCCTCTGCCTCTACCAATGTCTTCACCCTGTCCAGATTCTTCTGTTTTTTCAGTGCTGTTTGATAAGACTGTTCATGATTTTGATCTTTGGCATTTTCGCCTAGGTCATGTATCTTTGTCTCGTTTACAAACTCTAGCATCTAGAATAAGGGGTATTGATTCTAAATGTACAAAACACTGCTCTGTTTGCCCACTGGCCAAACAGAAACGTCTTCCCTTTATGGTAAGTGAGTCCCAAGCTGTGAATATGTTTGATCTCGTACATACTGACATTTGGGGTCCTTATAGTGTTCCTACTTTTGAGGGTCATCGTTATTTTTTGACCATAGTAGATGATTTTTCACGTAATACATGGGTTTACCTTATGCATAAGAAATCTGAAGCTCGACCTTTGATTCAGAATTTTGTTGCTCATGTTCAAAACCAATACAATGTTAGGATAAAGACACTTAGGTCAGATAATGGTCAGGAGTTTCAGATGCGTGCATTTTTTGATTCCTTGGGTATTGTGCATCAGACAACTTGTGTAGAGTCTTCTCAGCAAAATGGTCGGGTGGAGCGCAAGCAGCAGCACATCATTGCTGTTGCTCGAGCTCTTTTGTTTCAGTCTTCTCTTTCTTCACGTTTTTGGGGTCATGCTGTGTTACATGCCACTTTTTTGATTAATAGAGTTCCTAGTCCAGTCTTAGGTGATAAGTCTCCCTATGAACTGCTTCATGATTCTGTTCCAGATTACAATAGTTTTCGTGTGTTTGGTTGCTTGGCTTATGCGTCTACCTTGTCTCATAATCGTCCCAAGTTTCAACCTAGAGCAGATCCTTGTGTTTTTCTAGGATTTCCTTTTGCCACTAAGGGTTATAAACTTTATAACTTAGCTACCAATTCTGTTTTTGAATCTAGAGATGTGGTCTTCCACGAGTCTATTTTTCCCTTCTTTCATAAAAGTCAAAATCTGGATTCAGTTGAGTTTGCATTTCCTGTCATTCAGGTTTTGCCTTCTGCTGCGGTTACACCTCATGGTGCAAACACAGTGGATGGCATAGTTCATTCCATAAATCCCGACCCACATATAGAAGTTCCTTCTTCTTCTACTGTTTCTGACAACGATGATGGAGCACCACCTCCTGAGTATCCTCCTATTTTTGATTCTGCACCTTCTGGCAGACCTGCTAGGAATAGACAACGTCCTGCTCGATTGCAAGATTATGTCTGTAACTCTGCAGTGGGCTCCTCTGTTCCATATCCATTATCCTCGGTTATTTCTGACACTAACCTTGCTAATGGTCACTCTAGTTTTGTGAATGCAGTAAGTTCTATTTCAGAACCTACTAGTTATCATGAGGCAGCAAAGGATGAAAGATGGAATGCTGCTGTCAACACTGAACTGGATGCACTAATCAGAACAAAAACGTGGACTATTGTCCTACGACCACCAGGAGTCAAACCCATTGGTAATAAATGGGTCTTTAAGGTAAAATTTCATCCTGATGGAACTATTGAGCGTTTTAAAGCTCGATTAGTTGCAAAAGGATATACTCAAACAGAAGGTATAGATTATTTAGATACCTTTTCACCAGTTGCTAAATTAACAACTGTTAGGGCTTTACTTGCTTTAGCTTCAATTAAAGGATGGCATTTACATCAGCTAGATGTAAATAATGTTTTTTTGCATGGTGAACTAGATGAAGATGTGTACATGAAAGTTCCCTTAGGTTTAAATCTTCCTCCCAATTCTGGTGATGTTGTGTGCAAATTGAATAAATCACTTTATGGCCTAAAACAGGCTAGTAGGCAGTGGAATCACAAGTTAACTGAATTCCTTTTGAATGCTGGTTATCAACAGTCAAAATCTTATTACTCATTATTTACAAAACACAAGGATGGTCAGTTTTTAGCCTTGCTTGTTTATGTAGATGATATAATTTTGGCTGGTGATTACTTGTCTGAAATAGAAAATCTTAAGAAAGGCTTAGATGATGCATTCAAAATCAAAGATTTAGGACATGTTAAATACTTTCTTGGACTGGAAATTGCGCGTAAATCAACTGGAATTTCTCTGTGCCAAAGAAAGTATGTCTTGGATCTCTTGTCTGATTCTGGTTTGTTGGCTGCTAAACCTGTTAGCACGCCTTGTAATCCAGGAATTCGGCTGTCTAGTAAGACTGGTACTTTACTTGATGATGCTTCGGTCTATCGTCGTTTGGTAGGACGTTTATTATATTTGTGTAACACGCGTCCTGATATAGCGTTTGCTGTACATCAGTTGACTCAGTTCATGAGTGCGCCCACTGATGTACATTTGCAAGCTGCTTATCGTGTTCTTCATTATCTGAAAGGAAATCCAGGTCTTGGTTTATTCTTTCCTAGTAATTCAGAACTAACTCTAAAGGCTTTTTCAGACAGTGATTGGGCTGGATGTCCTGATTCTCGGCGTTCCACAACAGGCTTCTGTGTGTTTTTAGGTAACTCGTTAATTGCTTGGCGTTCCAAGAAACAGAAAACCATTTCTCGGTCTTCCACTGAGGCTGAGTATAGAGCCATGGCAGATTTAACTTGTGAAACTCAATGGTTACATTACTTGTTTGCTGCTTTGGGTGTTTCGTTTTCTGCTCCTAGCATTCTATATTCTGATAGTCAGTCGGCTATACGCATTGCTGAAAACCCAGTTGCACATGAACGTACCAAGCACATAGAGTTAGATTGCCATCTAACTCGTGATAAGATAGCTTCTGGTTTGATTAAAGTGCTGCATATTTCGACTACTAACCAGGTTGCTGATCTCTTTACAAAGTCTTTGCCTACTGCAGTATTTTCTGTTTTGCAGTCCAAGCTGGGCACTCTGGATATTCATGCTCCAGCTTGAGGGGGGGGTGTTGGACTATATTGTAAAGTAGACTTAGTTTAAGTACCTTGTTGTAATGTTTGTTTATATTATGTACTGTTTTGTTATTTTACTTATTTACAGCTGTATATATTGTATCACGAACAGTGTAAATTTCACCTTTGATGAAATAAAATAAGTAGCCTTTTTGCCTCCCAACAGATTAAGGGGCAAAGTTGGATCTTCTCCAAGCTTATAGATCTAAATGGCGGTTGACGACGAAGAAGAAGTATAAGATGATCAGGTATTAGGGATCTGCTCTCTTTTCACTAGTGAATTGCTGCAAGTAGGGGTGAACAAACATACTCGCAAACCGACCCACCCGTCCAAACCGACCCAACCCACCCATATTTATCGCTAAAACAAAGATTTTGGGTTGGGTGAGCGTTTTGTTTTGTACAACCCGCCTCTTTTGGGTTGAGTTTGGATTTTGGATTACACAACCCGTAGAACCCGACCCAACCTGTGTTCCAACTATTAGTATGAGTTCGTATCTAAAAAATATTTATGTCGTATATAGCCATACTTATGAGAAAATTAAGATATTTCGCCATGTTTTTCTCTCATGATCTCCCTAATCTAATGCATTATTCGACTTAAAGTTTAGACATAAATTGAATATAGTTATGATTCACGTAATCGTTTTTCTTGTGTACAATTTTAATAGAATAACATATTGTGGGTGCGTTTGTTTATAACCTTGTTAGCCTATTTCAACAAATATCGTAAAAAAACTAGACATATTTTGAAGTAAATCACATTTTATTAAAATTCAAACAACATTTGTGAATTTTGATACCTTTCACCACGGTTTATTCGTTTGAAATTTTAATTAGTTATAAAATATTTTTATGATGTAGAATAATTATATATTTTATGTTGGGTTGGGTTTTTACTTAAAAATATCACCAACCCGATCCAACCCAATTAGAAACAAACCGTAGGGTTTACATTTTTTTGGGTGGGTTTGATATTTTCCAAACTGTAGTGCATGGGTTGGGTGATAAAATGGCTAAACCCGGACCACCCGACCCATGTACACCCCTAGCTGCAAGGGAGGGATTAGAGATTTGCGGGGAGGAGGAAGGGCATGATGTTCACACGGGCATCGATTAGGGTTAGAGATGGAAGATAAATCTTCTGGGTTTTTGCAGGTCTTCGAGAAGATGGTGGCTGAGCATTACTCACCGTCGCCGCCGCCAGGTTTGGAGGAAGGAGATGACTAGTAGGGGATAGGGGAAAATTAAGGGATAAATTATTTTATGTTATTTTTTTTTTCAAAATTAATTATTTTATAACTCAAAATGTTATAAACGCGCTGCTACGGACCGGGAAATCGCCGGAATCGACAAAGCAAGAATACGAAAGCGAGAATCGAAAAACACAGACACACGATTTACATGGTTCACTAACACGATATGTGTTAGCTAGTCCACGGGTGAGAGAGAGTCAGTTTCACTATATCGAGGAGTTTTTAGATTACAGAGGAGTATGAGAAGTATCTATAGTACTTCTCCATGTGGGTCTAAACCTAATCCAATCTGTCAAAGGAAAACGGTTACAGACCAGGCCCAGAACCCGAACCCAAATAACATTGAGCCCATACACCACGTTGCCCCTGGACCCCACTCGCTGACCGGGCAGCGAGACCCCCGATTACCAGTCGTAACGGCTGATAGTCCGATTCAAGTCACATCAACACAAAATTTAACGACATGGCAATGATATGATGATTTGTCTCTTATATGTGGGATGATTTGGCATTCTAGTCAGTCTAACGTTAACCTAATTGACGAAGTCGCGAACACTGCTAAAGTTTATAACGGAAGTGACTATATTTGTCATGAAACTTTCAAAATTCTGGCTATAAGTGGTATTTCACCAAATTTTGTTGTTATTGGCACAAACGCGAAAATTTTTGACTATACAAGTATATTTTGCCTAAAATTTTTTTTGCAACCATTCATTACATTGACTAAAATTTATCAAAATACATAAAGTTTGAGCTAGATCGTTGTAGTGTCTACCAGATTTTGTGACGGATTGCTGGAGACCGAAACGGTTTTAGCCATATCGTCGCCAACAAACATGATCCAATTTGCAAATCGGTTTGAGGAGTTTCCACGACTCTTGCCCAACATAGGTTGATACTCATGCTCTATAGTAAAAGTTGTATAGTAGTACTTCTTAAATCAATGTTGCACTGTAGCTAACAAACTGAATATGTGCATAATATATGAACACCGCGAATATTTCATTTCCATTTCCCTTGTAGATCATAGAGCAAGCGATACACTGAGTAGCTTTACAAATAATTCCAGTTAACAATGTATACAAGAACACATATATCCATCCAGCGCTGAATTGAATACATTTCACGAATTAGCCCAGAAATCAAACAAACAAACAAGCTAAGGGATGTGAAAACTTTGTGATAGTTATCACTGCTATTGCTCCCGCTTGTGTGAGTACCAATACTGGTTGCTGCTGGGTTGGAAGAAGTGACCGACGTTCGGCGACGACGAGGAAGAAGAGCCGCCGCCGCCGGCCATATACGCGCTCGGTCTATTCACATTATTAGTATTACTAGACGAAGATGACAAGAATCCTGATGATGCTGCTGCAACTTGCTGCGAGGTTGAGGCCGGCCACTTGGGGACGCCGTCGCTATTAACAACAACGCCGGTCAATTGATTGTGATGCGCCCAGCTGCCCTTTATTTCCTGCCACACACGACACAACGTACGAAACAGACTCGTCAGGACAAAAAAAAGCTAGTCAAATGAGCTATCGTTCACTGATTCAATTCAACCGGCCGTGGACCCGTGGTGGTGTGATTAAGGTGCGTACCGGGTCAAAGGTGGACGGCGACGGAGACGGCGGCGGCGGCCAAGTTTGGAGGGTGTTGGAGGCGATGTTAATTGCCAGCCCGTGAAGTGGCTGGAAACCGAAAGGTCCTGCTGCTCTGCTGCTGCTGCTAGTGGTAGCTTTGTCGACCTTTTTCCCATTGGGTGCCGTTGAGTTTGGTGATGATGATGATGATATTCCCAACCTTAGATCGAGATCGTCCTCGCGGCGTCCTGTGATTCCCCATTAGAAAAGGAATATTAGTTGTTTTGATTGTGGATATTACGTACCGTCGGTTAATTAATTACTAGTCGAATGGTGATGTCGGACGTACCGGAAGTGTTGGTGTCGAGTTCTCGTGGCTGGATATTTGCCGGGGTTGCGGTGCCACTGTAACCAATGGTCGTCTTATCGTCGTAAGCTCTGATCAAAGTAAATAAAAATGAGATCAAATTTCACTATTTATGTTGAAAAATATTATTTTTAACGAAACCCTGAAATAGAAAATTGAAAATGAAAGTAGGAGGACCTTGCGCGGCTTCTACTTTACCCTCACCGTCACTAAATGTATAACTTTTCCACTTAAAATCTTAGTAAAAAATGGGATACAAACGATTCAATTAAAACTAACGGATCATTTGGATGTATCAATTGAAAAAACGAAACTACGAGATTAATTATCACATTTTTTTTTTTACAAAAATGAGTCGTTTAAAGCGAGTAAATTCCAATTATTTGTCCCTATTGTGGTGCCTACAAAAAGAAATAATTTCAAACTCCCCGTACCAAATTACTTCATCTACCTTTTATATGGTTGAACGTTCTTTAACTTAATTATTGCAAAAACACAATTGAATCAAATTATTAATTCATTAAATTGCATGTCCAACCCAAACCTAAGATAAACGTTGACAGCAAGTTTGAAAGGAAATGTGTTAAATGGATGGTGAAAATAGTTGACTTACTTATTGGCAAGGAGCTGGGCCATTCGGGCTTCCCATTGGCCGACGGACTTCTGAACGGTGGCGCCGCCTCTGTATTTCGAGTTTCCCCGTGAGAATCCCGTGGTCTGCCGCCGGAGAACCTGCACGAATTCCTCTTTCCCCAAATCCTTTAACTGCATCACAGCAAAACAACACAGACCCATTATTCTCGTTTTTTTTTTTCATTCATTAATTAACGATTTAATTAACTAGAATTAAGTTGATGAAATCCCTACCGCCTTCATGTCCTCGTCGTAATCGGTCAAAGTAAAGTTGATATCGGCATCCACTCCCCGGAACTTGATCGCCGCCCGATCATAAGCCCTGATCACCAAGATATAATTAAACCACCCACGTTAATCTTAATCACCACTAAAAAAAATCCGATTATGTCGACGTGTCACAGTAACGAATAGTTAAATATTTTTTTAATTACCTGGCTGCAGCATGGGCAGTGTCGAAACCACCTAAATACACTTGCTTCCCACAGTCCCTGAGAATCATCAACCAACACAAACAAACCCCTAATCATTACCCCCCAGAAATGCCTAACTGCCGACGGAATAATTAATCATGATTACCAACGATAATTATTTTTTTATTATAAATGATGATTACATATTTACATTAGTTTCCATTTGCAGAAAGTGGGTGGGGGATGCACATCATTCAGAGGAAGATGCTTTTGTATTATTTAGAAAATAGCAATTAAATAATCAAAAAATAATTATTTCCTAATTTGGTAACCGCATTTGATTAATGAAGTAGTTGGTTTAGTTAGTCAACCAAATTAATTACCAGATATGAGACTCCCACCGGCCGGTTCGCCGGTAAAAAGTGACCCCTCGGTACTGCGAGCTCCTCGACCTCGGCCCGCGCCGGCTCTTCCTTGGCTGCACCGCTTGCTTCGGCGGCGCCGGCGGCGAGGCCTCCGCTTCCGACAGCTTCAGCCAATGATCCGCCGCCGGCGGCGGCGTGTTGAGCTCCGGCCCCGCGCTCTCCGGGAAGAGCTGGTGGGTGGTCGGGATACTACCCTCCTTCCTCAAAATGTCGAAGGCGAATGCGGAGGAAGCGGCGGGGATGCTGTTGAGAGAGCGGGGAAAGGGTTCTATCTCGGTGTTGATTATGTCGGAGGAGGAATCGGAATCGTTGCCGTCGTCGTCGGGGAAATCGCGATCTGGGACCCGAGCGTCCATCGTCGTCGATTGCGCAGGCGAATCGGATGATGACCGGAGCTTCTTCGCCGCCGCGGCGAGGTACGGCGGCGTCGTGTTGGGGTGGAGGAGGATGTCTAGATTGAGATCCGGAGCGGAACCAGAGGCGGCCGGAAAATAGTTGTTGCTGCTCGGAATCTTCCTCTTGCTCATCGATCTATGCTGTAAATTGTGATTGGATGATCGGAGGAAGGAATCCGAGAGAGAGATGGATAAGCGAGATTGGGAATTGCTCGCTGCTGTACTTGCAGATGAGTTGTAGTTTTATATGCACAATTCTGGGAACCGAGAGAACAAAACAGGGGAGGTAGAGAGAGAGAGAGAAAGGAGGGGACGTGTTGAGTGAGACTCAGAGAGCAGAGCATCATTATTCCATTAATTGATTCCTCCTCTGCCTATGAATATGATGTTAGAGTTGTTGTTTTTCCATGGTTGCCCCTCGATCTGTAAAAAAAAAATATCTCCTTCCTTTTCACTTTGTGTTTCTTTCTTCTTGATTTTAACATTTACCCTTTCCCTCCTTTGAACCAAACCAATTCATTGTTGTAATGATAATTCGAGAGGTACTATGTTCGAATCTCATGGTAATAATGTACTGGTGGTACAGGAGATGTATTAAGGAAACCCGGTACGTAGTTGTGACTGATCGTCTGCATTTATATGAATGTTTGAAGACTTGAGTTGGCTTTTTGACGAGCTGGCGTACGGCTGATTAAAATTTTAAAATTGATGGATATATGACTAGGTTTTAAGTTAGAATATATAGAGATCGTATAGAACGCGGGGTGGACCTAGGTTGGTGACGCGCTTGTCAATAGACAAACCTCAATTCAGTTTTAGAATAAAATACTTTTGTGCAAGTTTATATTAGTGATGGTAGTGCATTTGAATCGATTATTTGACGATCCTTTGAAAATTTTATTTTTATCGTTGAATGTTTTTTTTATCTAATTTATGGATGTGTCAGCTGTATATAGACGATGTTGTATGGATTCGCGGGTGTCCAATGTTTATATTTGGAGCAAATACTTGATGATGGTCACTTTCCAATTGAGATGGTACTTGCCCCCCTCCCACGAAACATAAGATCCTTGCTTTATACGGAAATTTTGACTTTAAGTATCATTATAATAATAATGATGATTTACTTCACCCCACCACAAAACAAAAAGAAATGAAACTATAAATATCGTGAACTTCTCATCAAAGATAGCACATAAATTGTATTTATAAATTGGTGGATTAATCATGGGTTGAATTACTAAATTGGATTCACGAATTCAACTTACATATAAACTTTGGAGTATTACGAAAATGATTGAACGACACATCATCTTGCAATTTAACCTCAACTTATTATAAGTCATCTTAAATGTCACGTTATCAACACAAGTGCGATCAAGACGGATAATTAAACATTGGTTATTATTTTGCATTATGATTGGTTTGACGATTCATTTTTAGAAATTACAAGATTTTTCGGTTCAATTATATTAAACCCTGTAATTTATTATAGTAACCACCAATCACTTCTCTTTCACAGTGTAATAATATGAGATACCTAATGAGAGTGGCAGTTGATGATTGGACGACCAAAGAAGGCGACGTGGCAATAATAATATTCATCGTCCCCTCCAAATAGGAAAATAATGTGATTACGGGTAGGGCTAGTTATTTGGTCCCGGCTTCTTGGTTTGATCCAAAATCGGACCGTATAACTCGAATCAAAACTGGATCCGGACCGGATAACAAACAATCCAATCTTCGAGATTTGAGGTAAAAAAATTGTTTGGGACCGGATCGAAAACCGAATAAGAGAGTCTAACACCAAAAATTTAACCTCCTCACCCTTTCAGACCTTAGGCCACTCAAATCCTCCCCTCAGGCCACTCAATTCCCCACAAGATCAATCTAAAAACAAGACCAAATTGGGACCAGACTGGTTCAAAACCGAACTGGATCAAGACCGAACCATATCTAATCCAATATTTGATCCTTATATTCTCGAAAAAGGTGGATCGAAATCAGATTAATTCAGGCCAATTTAACTGAACCGGTCTGTATAGCCACCCTAATTACGGGATAGCTCATAGGGGCAAAACAGTGACGGGAAAAAAAGTGTAAATGTAAAGTCAAATTTCTGCCATAAGTAGAAATTCGGTATCCTGGCCTGCCTTGGTTTAGGAGTTGGGACCACTTGGAACTGTACCTATTTTCTTAATTTAGCTATTTTTGTTACAATTATTGGGTCTACGGATCGAAGGGCCCATCTCCGCGGCCCGCCACGAGGTCCACGATTATTCTGAGGCTGAGATGTTTATCAGTGAATCGGACGGCTGGGAGGCTCCTTCAGTTTTTCACGCTTTGCTTTACAACTCTGCCGACTGAGAACTTACCATGCCCATTTTGCCCCCGCCTACCAAAAATGAACAACGTGCGAGCTTTTGTACTTGCAAATTCACATGTTTTTAGAAACTTACCGTACTGATGAGTCACATCGAAAATAACAAATATTGTAACTTATACAATAAACGATTTTAGTGATACAAAAAGGTTAATATACTTTTTCTTACGGTTTCATAATCATTGATTTTCCTTTCCCTTTCGCACCTGCTATACTTGGGTGTCATCGGATCGTGTATTGAACCCTGCACGGTCGTAAGATGGATACAATGATGATCTTGTAAATCAAAATTTTATCATATTTATCCCGCTACTTCCAGGGGTGCTCAATGCACGAGTTGATGACGTCTAGCAGTGTGAGCACGTTCTCAAATACAAGTTGTGATTATGAACACCGTATTTTGGGTTGTGATTTAGATGTACCATCAAAAATTTCAGAAATGAAAAAAAAAGGAGTTGGGGTAGTTGAAACTTTGAATTATAGTGTCAAATTAAGAATTAGAGTTTTATCAGCTATCTTATTTTTTATATTTATTGTAAAATTCATATTTACGCGGGATAGTTGAGAGGAGCATATCTCCCCACTTCTCACTCTCTAATTAGTATTTACATTGTCGTTGTAACAGATTTGCACCAAGTGTATTCATACCAAATTAATATTTACACCGACTAAAATCAAATTAAATCTTGTTCGACTCAGTTCATGAACTATCGATATGAAAGAAAGTGAAGCAAACTTTGAATATATTTTCAATAAACTAATAGTAAACGAATCAAATATGGTGTAGGTCTAACTTTATTCAATATTTTTCTTTATTTTTTATTTATTTTTTATTTAGTTCTATCCCGTTTCAATAAAGACTTTAAACCGAACCGTTTTGATCAATAGTGGGGTAATAATCCTGAAGGACCTGAAGTGAGGGAGATCGTCTAGGAGGTGTGGAGTCTGACGTTCGATGGTACACCTATGTTTCGGTTATGGTGTAAACTTAAAAAATTAAGACATATGCTGTATGAATGGAACAAATTAGGGAAAACTAATTCCGAGCGAAAGATTCGAAGCCTTCAACGTGAGTGGGAGACTGTTAGAGGGGCTTCTGTTGTGGATTGGGAAAAGCTTCGTGCTCTGGAAAAACAATTGAGGGAAGCTTGATTGATGAAGAGATCTACAGGCGCCAGAAGTCAAGGGTGTCATGGTTAAAGGAGGGTGATCAGAATTCATCTTATTTTCATAATGTCACCAGAGCGTGTCGTCGCCATAACCTTATACAGGGTATTTATGACCCTGCGGGTACCTGGGTCACAGCGGAGGATGACATGGCGCACGTGGCTTGTGATTTCTATGGCGATCTCTTTACCTCGAGCGGTTTGCATCCCCAGTTGATCCAGGAGAAAGTAGTTGCGTTGCCCATTGAAAGAAGAGTGACAGATCGTATGAACGCCAAACTAACTGCTGCAGTGTCCCCTGAGGAAATCCGGTGTAGCGTCTTCCAGATAGGTGCTACGCAAGCCCCGGGATCGGATGGATTTACCGGTGTGTTTTTTCGACAGTTTTGGGACATTGTGGGACAGGACGTAATAGAGGCAGTCACTCACTTCTTTACTACGAGCTCTCTCATTAAGAATTGTAATCATACTTGGCTTGTTCTTATTCCGAAGGTTGACAGAGTAGAACATATGCGGAATCTACGTCCTATTAGTCTTTGTCAATTTTTCTACAAAGTCATAGCCAAAATTTTGGCTGAATGGCTGACCAGCTACTTACCGTCTATTGTGTCCCCGGGGCAGAATGGTTTTGTTCATGGTAGGCAGATTGTGGATAATGTCTTGATCGGGCACCAGGTTATGCAGTACCTGAAGAATAAGAGTGTAGGTAAACAGAAATTCATGGCATTTAAGGTTGATATGGAGAAGGCATATGATCGGGTGGAATGGCCATTTTTATTCGCATTGCTTGAGAAACTTGGTTTCAGTGCGCAATGGATCAAATGGCTACGGGCTTGTGTGTCTTCTCCGACGTTTTCTGTTTTGGTGAATGGAAAGCCTTCAGGGTATTTTAGTGCGACGCGAGGTCTTCGGCAGGGTGATCTCTTATCTCCGCTACTGTTTGCTATCTGCACCGAGGGTTTCGCTGCTTTGCTCCAGCAGGCGATCTCAAATCGTGTTTTGACCGGTCTTCGTATTAGCCCCTGGTGCCCTGTTGTCTCGCATTTATTCTTCGCGGATGACTCGTATTTGTTCCTATGAGCTTCACGATCTGAATGTGGACACCTTGTTGGGGTTCTGAAGCAGTATGAGGAGCTCAGTGGTCAAAAAGTCAATCTATCTAAGTCAGCGGTTTGTTTTAGCAGAAATACGTTAGCAGCTGATAGAGAAGAGATGGGGCGTATGCTTAGAGTGGGTGTCATTGGTGTTACACATCAATATTTGGGTTTGCCGTCCCTGGTGGGGCGCTCTAAATATGATACCTTTAGGTATATTGAGGAGCGAGTTACTCAATGCCTCCAGGGGTGGAAGCAGCGATGTTTATCATGGGCTGCTAAGGAATGCCTTATTAAGTCTGTTGCTATTGTTTTGCCTATGTATGTAATGTCTTGCTTCCTTCTACCTCTGTCACTGTGTCGTTTGCTGGATAGGCATTTGGCTAGATTTTGGTGGGGAGTGAAACAAGGTGAGCGGCGGATTCATTGGGTTTCTTGGAAATCGTTGTGCTTAAGTAAACATGAAGGAGGTTTGGATTTTAGGCGATTTGAGGAGTTTAATCAGGCTTTGTTGGCAAAGGTGGCGTGGCGAATTTGGAAAGAGCCTAATTCTCTGTTAGCTCGGGTGTTTAAGGGTGAGTACTTTCCCAACTCCTCTATTTTGGTGGCCAAGGCTGGATCTTTACCTTCTTGGGGCTGACGCGGGGTGTTGCATGGACG